TATATACATACATACATACATACTTTATTGTGTTCCCTAAACAGGGATTTTCAACACTGATTTACAAAAAATAAATGTTGTTCTATTTACAAGTTTTAGAATCTAGAATTTAAATTAAGGTAAAAAAGTAAGACATTTGTATAAAGTTTAACAAGGTAAAATTATCTACTTATATATTTGTTCTAGCATGCTTCGCTTCAGTTCGTTTTTGAAAGTTTTTAGGGAGTCTAACTTTTTGAACTTAATGTCCAAATCATTCCAGAGTGTAACGCCTCTATAATGAAAGGACCTTTGACCTGCAGAAGTTTTGTACAATGGTATTTGCAGTGAGTCATGGATACGTGTATCTCGTTGATGAATGTCAGAACGTTTTGTGAATAAATCGCTCAAATAATGTGGAGCAAGTTCATTGACACATTTGTACATCATAATAGCCTCTCTTAGTAGTAATTGTTCCTTTACTGGGAGCCAGTTAAGTTCGCGTAAGCCCGGCGAAATATGGTCGAACTTTCCAATATTTGTTATTATCCTCCATGCAAAATTTTGTACCAACTGTAGTTTCTTAATGTTGGTAGACGAAGTGTTTGACCAAACCGTTGAGCAATAGAACATTTTGTTCATTACAAGTGCCGAGACGATGAGAGTTAAAGCTTCTTTATCGAAACATTTTTTGACTCGGTTTATTTGGCACAGGGAATTCATACATGAGGAAACCAGGTTGGTGATGTGCTGGTCATATGTCAAATAAGAGTCGATTGTCATTCCTAGATCTTTGGCAAAGGAGATGGGGGTAATAGTCTCGTTGAGGAAGTTTATGGTCATATCTTCGGGAAGTTGTTGTAGGTTTTGCCGTGTGCCAATCAGCATGTATTTGGTCTTTCCCGGGTTAGTTGTTGCTTTAAACAGTCCACGTTAGCCACAGTGAAAGATAGTAATATCTTGGAGTCGTCCACGTACGATTCAAGTTTACTATGGTGGACTGATGAGGGCAAATCGTTAGTATAAATACTAAAAAGTAAAGGTGATAAAATTGCACCCTGTGGTACACCATAAGTAACAGGGAGAGGAGTAGACACAGTTGATCCAATTCTGACTGATTGAGTTCTTCCGGTCAAGTAACTCTCAAACCATTTTACAACGCTTGGAGAAGCCCCGATGTTGCTAAGTTTTGTAAGGAGAAAAGTATGATTTACACTGTCGAAGGCTTTAGATAGATCTATTAGAATCAGTGCAGTAACCAATTTCCCATCCATGGCCTTTAGGATAGTATCTCCGGTCAAAAGATTCAATGTTTCGCATGAGTGATGTTTCTTGTTCCCGCTCTGGTGGGTTGACAATTTTTTTTATTTTTTTTTTTGTTCTTCATTAGATACGAACCAAATTGATTCAAGGCGACTTTCTCACAAATTTTCGAAAGAAAGGTAAGGAGAGAAAGTGGGCGGTTATTTGATGCTTCCTCGTGGTTTCCATCCTTTAACAAAGGGATAACTTCTGCCTCTTTCCATGCTGTAGGGAACGAAGATGACGACAGTGAACAGTTAATGGTATCGGTGAGGGGCCCAAGAATTACCGGTAGGCTGTGTTTGATGACACGCATACTCACTTTGTCTTTGCCGGGTGATTTGTTTGACGGCATAGCTAATATGATGTTCCTTATTTCTGAACAAGAGACTGGGGTGAAACTAAATCTATCATTTTCTTCAGGGTAGCTGTTATCTGTGCGATTTACGTCAGAAAGATTCCGAGCTGGATAAACACTAGGATCTTGTATTAGTGTTGAGGCTTTCTTTGCTGCATTCACACCGATGGTGGAAAAGAAATGATTAAACTCTTCGGCCAATAATTTCGGTTCCTTACTGTAGACCACTGACTCTCTTTCCCTATACGCTATATTTTCTTTAATTACCTTCCAAAGTGACCCAGTATTGTTTCTGTGTTGCTGAACTTCCTTCAGTACATGTTCTTTCTGTGCATTAACAAGTGCGGTTTTTGTAAAATTACGGGCCTCTCTGAAATTAAGCCAATCATAATTAATAATTTAATAAAAAAATACCGATTTGTAACCTATTAGGTTAAATTACATCAGTAAAAAGTCTCATTATACTACAATAGAATATCTAGATGCATAAAATTATTCATAACTTCAGTTAAAAAAGTTATAGAGTTCAAATTTAAAAATATTAAAAATATTAAAATTATGGTCTATTCATATGTGAAACCATCTGTGGAAAAAACGATTTCATAAATCTGTCCGTTTTATAAATCTGTCCATAATGATCACGTGTTTTCCTGAAAAGACTGTGGAGCTGGTCTCTTTTGATCATGGATGCTTTTATTTCCGAGGTGATAAATGGGCAAGATTTTCCGCGTACTTTTATGGTCTTTACTGGGGCGTGTTTATCCAATGTATTTAAAAATATTTCATTAAAAATGGTTAGTTTTTCATCAACATTGTCCGTTCTGAAAATGGAAACAAGACGATCACGGTTGGATGCCAGATCGATCGCGAACAAATCAAGGTCGTATTTATTGTAGCTGCGGGTAGTGATATAGTTTGGTGGAGATTTGTCGGTTTTAAGTTTTAGTGATACATACACAGGGAAATGATCGCTGATACAGGTTTCTATGACGCCGCTGTTGACTACTAGTCTTGGCGAGGATACGAAAATAACGTCGACGAGGGCCTGACTGGATTCAGTAATTCTTGTTGGTGATTTTATTAACTGGTTAAGGTTGAGTTCTTTTGTCGTCTTGATCAAAGACGCTGATCCAGGTGTGGGCTTAAGCATATCGCAGTTTAGGTCTCCAAGAAGAATGATCAACTTTGCCATCGTCAGGGCATGAACATAATTAGGTTTAAAATATTTTTCGAAGCAGTCAAGCGGGCTGTCTGGGGGTCGATAAGAGACACAGACCAACAGTGATTTAGATTTTTTGTGCTGTAATTTGATCCATAATTGATGGAAATTCGTCTCGGAGATATAACTGAGGTCTTTAAGTACAAGAGATTTAATATCTTTTCGTATGTAAGCACATACCCCGCCCCCTTTCTTGTGTAGTCGGTCTAAACGATGTAGCTTATAACCTTCGATTTCGATTTCCTTGTTTGTGACGGAGGTATTTAACCATGTCTCTGATACTGTAAGGACGTCAATTTTGTTAAATTTGGTAAACTTACGTAATTCTAAAAAATGGGCGTTATTTTTCAGAGAGCGGATGTTTAGGTGGACCAGTTTGAGACCTGGAAGGGTACTGAGGCTGTTATCTGACTTTTTTGTTAAATGGGCTGAGGACGTATCATTAGTGGTTTTCGACGTGAGTGACCACGAGAGTGCGGAAGCGTTTGGAGAGGCAGGGTTGGACAAAGGAACACGAACAAGATTTCTATTTTGCAAGTTATTGTTAACACTAGAAGAATTATTAATGGTTAGTTGATATGATAGTCTCTGACGTGATGGTCTCTGACGTGAAGTGATTCCAAATTCTGATTCAGAAAATGACTTCCTCGATATTTTTTGGGATTTCACCCTTCTCCCAAATTTTCAGGCAGGCATAGCTCGGGACCCCTGCAACGGCTGGCGTGGCGACTACCACCATTCGACTCAGCGTTAAATTCTCATTCAGAAAATGACTTCCTCGATATTTTTTTGGATTTCACTCTTCTCGCCAAATTTTCAGCCAGGCATAGCTTGGGACCGCCGCCACGGCTGAGGACGCGACTACCACCATACGACTCAGCGTCAAATTCTCATTCAGAAAATGACTTCCTCGATATTTTTTGGGATTTGACCCTTCTCGCCAAAATTTCAACCAGCCATAGCTCCGGACCGCAGCGACGGCTGGCGACCAGACTACCATCATTCCACTCAGCTTTAAATTCTGATTCAGAAAATGACTTCCTCGATATTTTTTTGGATTTCACCCTTCTCGCCAAATTTTCAGCCAGCCATAGCTCGGAACCGCAGCGACGGCTGGTGACCAGACTACCACCATTCGACTCAGCGTTCAATTCTGTTTCAGAAAATGACTTCCTCGATATTTTTAGGGATTTCACCCTTCTCGCCAAATTTTCAGCCAGCCATAGCTCGGGAACGCAACGACGGCTGGCGACCAGACAACCACCATACGACTCAGCGTCAAATTCTGATTCAGAAAATGTCTTCCTCGATATTTTTTGGGATTTCACCCTTCTCGCCAAATTTTCAGCCAGCCATAGCTCGCGACCACAGCCACGGCTGACGACGCGACTACCACCATACGACTCAGCATCAAATTCTCACTCAAAAAATGACTTCCTCGATATTTTTTGGGATTTCACCCTTCTCGCCAAATTTTCAGCCAGCCATTCCTCGGGACTGCAGCGACGGCTGGCGACCAGACTACCACCATTCGACTCAGCGTTAAATTCTGATTCAAAAAATGACTTCCTCGATATTTTTTGGGATTTCACCCTTCTCGCCAAATTTTCAGCGAGCCATAGCTCGGGACTGCAGCGACGGCTGACGACGTGACTACCACCATTCGACGCAGCGTGAAATTCTCATTCAGAAAATGACTTCCTCGATATTTTTTTGGATTTCACTCTTCTCGCCAAATTTTCAGCCAGGCATAGCTTGGGACCGCCGCCACGGCTGAGGGCACGACTACCACCATACGACTCAGCGTCAAATTCTCATTCAGAAAATGATTTCTTGATATTTTTTGGGATTTCACCCTTCTCGCCAAATTTTCAGCCAGCCATTCCTCGGGACTGCAGCGACGGCTGGCGACCAGACTACCACCATTCGACTCAGCGTTAAATTCTGATTCAAAAAATGACTTCCTCGATATTTTTTGGGATTTCACCCTTCTCGCCAAATTTTCAGCGAGCCATAGCTCGGGACTGCAGCGACGGCTGACGACGTGACTACCACCATTCGACGCAGCGTGAAATTCTCATTCAGAAAATGACTTCCTCGATATTTTTTTGGATTTCACTCTTCTCGCCAAATTTTCAGCCAGGCATAGCTTGGGACCGCCGCCACGGCTGAGGGCACGACTACCACCATACGACTCAGCGTCAAATTCTCATTCAGAAAATGATTTCTCGATATTTTTTGGGATTTCACCCTTCTCGCCAAAATTTCAGCCAGCCATAGCTCCGGACCGCAGCGACGGCTGGCGACCAGACTACCACCATTCGACTCAGCGTTCAATTCTGTTTCAGAAAATGACTTCCTAGATATTTTTTTGGATTTCATCCTTCTCGCCAAATTTTCAGCCAGCCATCTCAGGTGGTTTAATGACTTGGTCAGGTTTCACAAGTAGCAATAAATAATGAAATTAAAGAAAATATTATTTTACAAGGATTTAAGTAAAACTTGCCCGGTTTTAAGCGTTAATGCTGTTCAATATGATTACAGAATTTTTTTAACGAAGACAGAATTTTGAAAAACTGGTCACGTGACCAATTATTAGTCTAAAAATAGTAACAAATGCATTGTTCTTTTTCGACCGCCTTGCAGGGAAGGATAAGAGAGTCGTTGAAAAATATTTTAATTGTTAATGCATTGTCAAGGAACCCCTCTATAATATTCAACCTTGTATCTGTGGAAATCTTGTATTATAACAGCGTAAAATGGATTCTAAGTCGACACTCGCGTACCTATTTCCATATTTTCGCACATTAAAGTTAGTTCTAGCGCAAATATTTCACTTTACGAGTTTTCCTAGCAAGTTCAAAATATTTTCCAGATTAGTAGCGCTTAAGCCTTTAATGGTTGATAATAAAAACCTCTCCTGCAAGGCCGTTGAAGTTTGACATTCGCGAAGTAAATAGATCGTAAAATAAGCGCCATTTGTGTCGAATGAGCCCTGATTGTAAATACAGCGGATTCCCACATAGCCATGGCAACCCAAAACGCTCAAAATGGCGATCATAATAACTCGGAAGGCATAATTCGTGTTTCAAGACACATTTTGCTTTTCGCATTGTTAAAACCGACAATTTAATACACGGAAAGTAAACATATATGTGAGAGGAATTAGCTAATGTACGCGCGAAGCATACAACAGAACTATTTTTCACACAAATCTATGCAGAACTTTGTATCATACGATAGCGCGTCTACACGTTATAATATAATAAAAATGTATAGCAAAGACGACATACTAAGTATAGATTTCAAAGGCAATATTGCGTAGGTGAAATTCTTGAGTGTTATGATGAAACAAGAGCCTTATTCATAAGTGATTTAAGATTATAATCTGTCAAAACTAGACGCGCGTGATTAAAATTAAGGCGCCAGATTCAAAACTTGCTTCGATCGACTAACGTCTCGAAGTGCGCGTATACCTAAAATTTATCAAAGTGTTTAACTTTAACGGTATGGTTGTAAGTCTTATTCACCCACATACGTGTGGATTTGCGAAGGCAGCAATTTGGCGAATTACCAGAGATGCTTCAGTCAAAATAAAGCGCGTCAACAATGAAACGCCATATCAGCATCGCGTGCGTACAGTTCAAGTTATTCATGAACGTTTCTCCCAAAGTTTCCCCGGCAAGAAGTTCGCAGTTGACTTTAAAACCTTCATGAGGAAACTGCCAGACTTGCGCAAGAAAATCAGCAACTGGAATCCTAGGAAAAAGACGGAACGCGAGCAATATTTCGAGGCTTTCTCCGCAGATAACTGGAAGGCATTGTCGATCGAACACAAGGCCGAACATAGCTTGACAGACTGTCGTGCCTGTTTCCACAAGTATTCAATACAACAGTCGTTCTTTCCTGTCCAATGCAAGGAATTTCAAGGCTGTTTAAAACAAAATCCAGCGATCGTGGCAAAAAATATCGCGGGTAAAATAATTCAACAACCCGGCCAAGTGAAATGCACCCGACGTGAGTATCAAGCTGGCGTTCAGAAGGTTTATGACGAAATCAACCCAGTTTTCGAACGCGTGTTTAACGTCCCTCTTGAGAAAGCCCTGACGACTCTTCCGACCCTGAACATTCAGACGAGTAGGAGTGCCACTGAAAGAAAAAGAGAAAGACGCAAACAATTACGTAAAGCCAAAACGTCCATTGAAAAACACTGGAAAAGTACATCTGTAATGAGGTATACGTATGTTAAATTTCACTAATTATAAATTTCATTTGTAACAGATTATGATAAACGTACTCGTAATATAAGGGTAAATATATTGCTAGGAAAGCTATAAAATGTAATAAAACTAATAAATCAATGTAATCACATGATTAAGGTGTTATATATGGAAACAGCTAATCATTATCAGCCGCACGAAGATCACGCCTCACTATGGCATTTGAGAGCAAGGATGATGCGAAGAAGCGAAATGAGATGAGAAATAGTTTGAAAAAACGTAATCCTGTTGGGAATGTGAACAATACAGTATTCGAGCGAGAGAAAATGAAGGAAGAAATAGAAAGCTATCCTGATGGTATTGCTGTCAACTGGTCAGATTTGGCTCGGCGACACAATATCACCAACACCAAAGGGGAATTGGCAAAAAATGGAGGGCAGATAGCTCAGGAGTGGCTAAAAAAGGAGGGCGTGAACATTAACAGGTTCAAACGTAAGAATGATGGAAGTGATATGCGAGTCCGGAGAAAGAAACTTAGGGGACAAGGAGGGGAAATTACGGTTGCAACTCCGCAGAATATTGACAAGGTGAAAGCTGAGATAAGGAAGAAGATTTCATCTGGCGAATATACTGTTTGGCAACAAATTGCACCAAGAAAGGTCAGTGTAGAGGAGGAGTGAGGACTATACCGGCATGCAACGCGGTATTTTACATATTATCGATTTCTCGCTCTGCGCCGTCATTGTTCGGTCGGCTTTCGTTGTGTTTACATCTCGAGGTTTCGAGAGATATTTCAGAAAAAGATTTATAGAAAAAAATTGTAAAATGGTGAATTTTGCACTGTGCATGAAAAGAAAGCTTTTTTGGGTGGATACGAGTTTCTGTTTGTTCACTGTGTGTCAAACAGCCTTTAATCTTGATTCCAGAAGGATTACCGTATGATGAACTTGTCAATGAATATGTCGTGAGGTTCATGTTTATAGTTGAAATTGTTCGCTGTCATTGTGGTAGTCCTGCACTGGTACAAATTCACTCTAGTTGTGTTTTTAAGGTAAGATGATTTATATAAAATAGAAATATAAAAATACTCTCATCTCATACTGTATTATACTATAAAATTATGTATTAAAGTACAGTCATCTATGCCTATCATGTGATTGATATATTTCACTTAAAATTGTTGTAATACAGCAGTATTAAACGTATTTTTATTTCATATCATGTAGTTCTTCGACCCTAACGATCCACGGGAAGGAGGTATAAAGTATAAACAAAGAATATAACAATGTTATGTTGTGCCGGTTGTGGAAGTTTGACATTTCAACATCACCAACATCCCAAGCAATCCCACCATGTGACCCAGATAGTCAAGATGATGTGCTGGATAGTGTATTTCCACCAATAAAATTACATCAGCCAACTGATTGTAACTGTTTTAATTTACCAATAAATCCTGTTTGCCCTGACGGACATTCATACACACCGAATGATGGAAGAAGCGCCCAGTAGTAGCGCTTGTTGTAGAGAAAGAAATGGAGGAAATTCAGCACTATCGCAACACTATATATAAATGTATTGACTACTATGTGATGCATTGCAAGGATTTATACTGATCAACCAGTTATCTAGGCTCAAATGATCAACCAGTTGTCTTTTATTTTACTCTGCCTAACGCCAGATTATTTTACTGTCTAACACTAGACTATTTACTCATCAGGGAGAGTGCTGCCACTCAATGGGTTAAAAAACATTCAAACACAATGTTTGGCAGAAGCTGCAGAATTGTTTATTGGTGTCTGGTGTGATACTGACATTTCTTTTATTTGTAAGGATAGAGCTGGGGAGCTTCTAGTGGTACAGTCTTGACCCGGTTTTCCTGTACTGTCATGTTTTTCTCACTTCCCTGATTCTACCATAAGTATTGTATCCCATGGACACCACCTTATCAGTTCTGCAGTTTTTTGACATTCTACCGTAAAACTCCAACTATAAGCCCTGGGTTTATATTCTTTTGTAAGCGATTTTTGATGGGCTTACACAAGGGGTGGGGGGCTTATATCCAGGGGGTATTATATTTGGAGGTTTATGGTATGTATGGTTTTCATGATTTGCAGTGTATATAGCTCATCACAAATTAATAAAAAGATCACACACTACATAATTGATGTTGATAAATTTATTTATTTCAAAATCGAAAAAATATTAACATAACATTATTGTACTTACAGATAATTAAAATGTTTTTAAAAATAAAATTTATGTGCACAATTTTAAAATGTTGCACACATTCATTTCACCAGTACACATGGATGCTATATGATGAAGTATATGAAAGTTGATGCTTTTGCTCTAGCTTAATGTGCAATGCATTAAAACAATCTAGAGGTATTACATAATTGGTAAACCTCTTCAATCGTAATCACTTGCATGATTGTCTGCAACACATATGAATTCAATGAATGCTTTATCTTCCTCAAATGTCCATTTATGAAGTTTTACTGGGAATTTCTTTGGAGGAGTCGGTTTAATCTTTCTGATAGGAAACTACAAAACAAACAGCAAAAGTGAGAGGGGCAATGTCAGTGCCAGCACAATTAGACAACAACAAAGAAAGCTCATGGATGTTTACCAGGATTGTGGGCATGCTTCTCCAGGAAATTTGTGTACTATAGGTTTTCTGATATGCCACTCCCAGCATTGAAAAATATCATTGGCGTATGGGTGGATATAAATCACCCGACATTGTCATGAATTTATTGATAGATGAACAAGAGGTATAAAATAGAAGGAACATAACTCCTATGCAGGCTTGCAGCAATACTGTTTAAAGTAAATTTTAAAACAATTTCCCAATTTTTAAAGCAGAATTCTGCCAGTACAGTTGTACTGTATTTTATGTTTGTAAAAACCTTTGTACTTTTATACCTTTGGTGATGTTTCAGGACTCTGAAACAAAGTTCGACTTGATGTTGAATTCTTCAAACGTGAAATTCTGTGTCTCTTATTATTAGGTTTCCCTTGGGTATCACCCTCAGAAGTATATACCCGTTTTATAGCAGTATCATCCAGTTTTACTCCAAAACAGCCGAATTCTATAATAAAATGCCGTTAAAAAAATACAGTCAGTGCAGTATAAGCATATCTAACCTTAAAAGTTACATTAAACTTAAAATATGTAGGAACATAATTATATCTGTATGTTTCAAAATTATCATGGAGAATAGCGATAGTGTCCTTCGCGCCATGATGATTATCACGCGATCTATTCTCGCCATCGGCGATAGAATATAGCAAAAATACCCCATTTTCAAACCGCGATTACTAGTCAATTTCGTCGAGCTACTTTGAGTTTTAAATTACTAATTGAAAGAACAAACTTTCCTTAATTCGATGACGTGTTTTATTTTAATTTCCCCCAGTGGCGTGCTGGGTACTATTTTTCTGGAGGGGCCAGTGGGCTGTCAACCAATATGCGCCCCTATAATGTTACACTTGATAAACGAGGGCCGAAGGCAAGAGCCGAGTGCCGCAAGTGCGAGGATTGTCTAGGGGGGTCCGGGGACATGCCCCCAGGAAAATTTTTGAATTTAGAGTTTCTGAAATGCCATTTCCTGGACTTTGGGGGAAGATTTGACAGAAATCTCATGGTCAAGAAACGGCATTATAACGTGTCGAAATTTGCAATTCGGTTAGAATTTAGTAGTAGTACTTAAATTATGCAATGCTAACTACTTCCAGCGATTAATCTAATCCCAATTCTGTTCTCTACTGATCTACTGTTCTGAGTACATTTACAACTTAAAGCTCTTTTATACAATAACACAAGCAACCCACGCATATGCATTTTAAGGTTTCCTTGCCTGGCTGCCAAAAGGGCATGTTTCAGCATTATTTCATTGCTTACATTACTCATGCTTCTTGTGCAAACAACTAAATTGCGTACACAACTAAACATCAGTTATCATAACTTCAACTATTTAATTTGCGCGCGCCGCTCTCGTGACTCGTGAAGCATAATAAAGGACATAATATAAGGGCATAATACCAGCAAAAAAGGGCATAATTCCTGTGATCGCTTCGATCGAAACCTGACCAATATTCCGGTAATGAGACATTGCCTGTGATCACTGATCATGTTTCTATATGAACGATTTCGTGTGAGCTGTGAGGTAGCAAATACGGTTAGGCAAAATAGTCTGTAATTTAATATATGTCGCCTATATGCGCTTAGTCTGTTTATACTGTAGCCTATAAACATGTCTTTTCTTGGCGGAAGTAACCATATTTTTTCGAGAATGCGTTTTTCCCACTCACTTTCAAAATTCGGCGCCCCATTTTCATTTTTGCGCCCCCCCAAGAATTGCCTGCTGCTGGGGGGGGCATGGCCCCCCCTGCCAGCACGCCACTGATTTCCCCTCAAAAAAATGAATATAGCTTCTGCATTTTTTGAAAGCCACTTTTGTGACGTGTCCACTGACCCGAATCAAGCATAATTACAAGGCGTAATTAACATAACTAAAAAACAATTTCTGTACCAAATAAGTCAAAAATAGTTTAATTAGGTTCTTAAATAATACAAATATAAAAACATACCTTTGAAAAAGCGAGATATACGGAGCCAAAATCGCAATGTATTTCAACAACTTTTCCCCAAATGTTCGTTGAAAATCGTAATTGTGAATAATAATAAATGCAATGCATTGTGGGAAGACCCTCATTCCTCCTCTGGGTCAGTGCCAAACAGTATTATTTTACTTCATTGCTATGATAGAGAGGGCCGAGATTGATAGACAGGATAAAAAATAATGCAATATTCAGATGTACTGTAGATTTCTCTAGGGTCTGATCTATTTACAGGGTCTGCATTGTAAGTAATTTGTTAATCATTAATCTTGAAGCAAACATTCCATTCCATTTTCATCTCGATTGTAGTATGAAAAGATGGCATTAAATGAAAATGGAGAGATAGTTAGATCTGAGTTTGTTGTGGAAGGACGAAAGCAGTCTTTGGTCGAGATTAGAGAACGAACCAAAATCTCACTGACTGCAAAAACACAGACATTCAAACGAAGGTGGAAACGCCGGAAGTTTAAATAGTTGCGCGGTCGGGAAGTTCAGATGTTGTCCATTTCAAAAGTTAAAGAAAGATGAACTTATTCGAGAACTGAATGCCAGAGGAATCTATGAAGGGGAGTCAAAGAAAGAGCTTGAGAAGCTTTTGAGAAAGGAACTCCACGGCGTTCAGAGAGTACCTGCTTTGCTTTACAACAACCCAACAGCTACCCTGGAATCCATCAACTGTGACAAGTATGAAATACTTAGTTTTGAACCCCTCCACGACATAGGCAAACACATTGAAAATGTTCTAGCTGAATTCCCTTTTCATCTCCCAGAAAAAGAAGCTGCTGCTGTGAAGGAGGTCATCAATTGCTCCATTGGTGGTAAGGATACCAAGCGCACATTTGATTATAGATGTGCACTTATTATCCTTGCAAAACATTCCTCAAAGATAGTAACATCCAACATTGTCCAGCAACTATTGACCACCTTGGTAGAAATCCAAAGAATTGCTTACAGTTCGGAATCTGAGAGGACCCCCAAATCAGTCCTGCGTCTTCACAACATGACATGGCACCATGGGATCTTGTGCAGAGAGGTGTTTGGTTTCAAGCTAAAGGAACTGACAACGCGCAAATTGTATGGCAACTACTACCACAACATCACCAGCCATGCTGCTATGCAGCATCGACTAATTAATGGCAAAGCCTGTAATGTTGAAGAGCAAGAACGGATTTTCAACACCATCACCAACATCACCAAGTCAACATCCTCCTACCACCCAAGTCACATCATTGGCAATATCTTCATCCGATTGCAAGCTGAGAAACAGATGCAAGCTTTTCAAGGCTCTTCTTCCT